AAGAGTCTAGCACGATCGTGGTTCTGGTGGCCACATATGGATGCTGATATTGAAAAATATGTAAAGCTTTGTTCAAGCTGTGCACAACATTCAAATCAACCAGCTACAGCACCTTTGCAAAACTGGGACTGGCCAATCGAACCATGGAAACGTATACATATAGATTTCGCAGGACCCTTCATGAACTAAATGTTCTTAATTGTTATTGATTCACATTCTAAGTGGTTAGAAGTTAAAATTATGAACACAATCACTGCAAATGATACCATTATAGAACTTAGGAAATATTTTAAACTCATGGATCAAATTGTTTCAGATAATGGGCCTAGTTTCACTGCTCATGAGTTTAAACTGTTTTGTGTAGCAAATGGTATTGAGCATATAACCACATCACCCTATCATCCTGCTGGGAATGGTTTGGCTGAAAGAGCGGTAGGCATATTCAAAACCGCTATGGTAAAAATGAGTACCTGTTACAAGTTTTCTCTCAGAGAAAGAGTAAAAAGGTTCTTAGCCAAATACCGTACAACTCCTCATATAACAACAGGTGTTGCACCATGCGAATTGCTATGTGGTAGGAAAATTAAAACTCACCTTGACCTACTACATCCAACTATTCAAAGGTCTGTTTCCCAACATCAACATACACAAAAATTAAATCATGACAAAACATCCATTGAAAGAGAATTTGGTGTTAATGATAATGTGTATCTGAGAAATTATGGGAGAGGGGAAAAATGGATGCCAGGTCAAATTGTTCAAGGTACAGGACCTGTGTCTTATAAAGTAAAAACAAATATGATGGACTTATTGTCCGTAGACATGCAGACCAGTTAAAAATAACTTGTGCAGATAATAAGTGTGAATCTGTCAATCCCACCAAATCTGACCAGTTCACACCAACTCAGTTTGTTCCACAGCCAAGTTCTGTTGATATGAGTGAACCAAGTTGTCTAGAGTCAGAAAATGTAAATTCTGGAATTAATGATTTAGATCCTAGACTTCCTGAGCTAGAGAGTCCAGATGGTCAGAATCTTGAGTCACCAAATCAAAAGCCACTGAGAAGGTCAAACAGGACAATCAAAGTCCCAGATAAGTTAGACCTATGATTTTAAAGGTCAAAAGGACTTTGACATCATTGTTTTGTATTTTAATTATGTTGTAGCATATTATGCATTTGTTTGTAAGGATGTAATCTACCAAATGATTCAAATCATGTAATGTTCAAGTTACAATATATTTGGTGATTTTAAGATACTGTCATTTGTTCTATTGAGAGCTGTGTTGTTGTTTGCTAAGGGTAAAGGGATGTAATATATTGAGAATTGTGTAGTCAAGGGAACTCACTCTTCTCGTATTAGTCTTATATTTATAATGTTGTTTTGGGTGATGTCCCTTGTTTATATCTTCTGACTTCCTGTTCCTGTTTCCATCATGGTGGCTGAATAAAAGATCTCTACACAATCAACGTGGCTTCTGCGCCAGTGTATTAGAATAGAACGGTCCAATCTACCACATGAGCAAGATAGGAATAAGTCATAACATGACTTGTATAAATATGTTTTACCACTATTTTAATTTAGTAATGGTAATGAACATACATTTTGTTGTATTTCTGTGATTTGTATGTATACTGTATATCTTCAAACAATGTTAAGTAATGAACATGATTATGGCAGTATGAGTTGACAGATGTGGTAATTTACATATGTTATGATGAGGAGTTTACCTCAGCCATTGAAGTAGGGAAATCAAGGATATGATTTGCCAATGGGAGCTATTGCATAGCTATAATTTTGTTCTACTAAGAGAGAGTTTTCCTTAGTTAGATTTATTTTGAGATACTCTAAGAGGTAATATTCCTTAGTGAGGTTTAATGATTTTTTTGTTACACTAAGAAGAGCTGCTCCTTAGTTAGAGTCAATTGTTATTATTAAACTAAGAAGGTTTACCTTAGTTACAATTTTCCTTAATGGCGACACTTATAAAATAAGTGAAGCTTTGCATTTTGCCATGTATTTTATGAATATCATTGTTTTAATTTGGTAAGTGTACATATAAAAATAATTTAGGATGTTCATTAGCAAGTTTCTTTTTCAATATGATTTCCATTTAACTGTTACATGTATAATGAAGGTTTTATAGTGAATGTGATGTATATAAGAAAAAATTATTGAATTAATTTTTTAAAGGGTAGAAAGGGCATATGTAACAGTCAAATATAAGGTGAATGCATTTTTCGAGTATGTTTCATATTAAACCGGGAGTGATCTCCCCTAAACTTTCTCGAATATTCTAATATAACACTACGGGGGATGGCAACTCGGGATATAGACTTCTAGATATGATTTTTAATCCATTTTAAATACTCAAATTTTTAAAAATAGAATATAATCTTGTAGAAAAAAGAAATGCACACCAAGTGAACGCCAAATAAAGATGTGCATAATAGTGTGCAATATTATTAGTACTTTATAAATTTACATGCGTTTTTTGAGAAATCGGAAATAGCGTAAATAAGTACTTCCGGTCAACGGAAATTACTCAAAATTTGAAAGAAGGTAGAGAATTAGATCTTTTACTTACATATCAAATTTCATTTATCTATCTGAAATAGTACTCAAGTTATAGGCTTTTGAAAAATTCAAAGTAGAAAAAGTACCACTTCCGGTTATCGGAAATCGCTCAAAAGTTGATACGGATCTACGATTTTGATAAAATACTTGTATATGAAATTTCATCAACCTAGCTGTAACGGTACTCAAGTTATCGTGTTTACACACGGACAGACAGACACACACACACACAGACAGACACACAGACATACGGACAAGATTGCAAAATTATGTTTTTCCGTATCAGTGAGATGTAAAACGTCGAGATTTGCAAAAATCTCGATTTTTTTTTTCACGATTACGAGACTTTCTCTATACTTCGTATATACGAGAAAGTAAAAAAGGCGATATAATTCTAAAATATAGTGTGGGTGTGCGCATGCGCTAAAAAAAAGGGAAGCAAGGGGGTAGAGAGCGGGAAGAAAATGGCGATGTTTTGGCAGTGAAGTCGTTGTATCAATGAACCAATAATAATAATCATTAATAAAGTTTTAAAAAACCCACGTTTTCTGATTGAGCTAAAAAGTAGAAAATAAATGCTATACATCACAATAATGCAAGCGATCACTCTACTATAAGCGATGAAAAACGTGGGGCGCCGAAGTAAAAGTTATATTACTATTGATTAGATAATACTATTGACTTTTATTAGGGAGCTTGTAGAGAGTCAACAGTATTAGAAACTGTAAGAAAATCACGGCGCCCCACGTTTTTGATCGCTTATAGTAGAGTGATCGCTTGCATTATTGTGATGTATAGCATTTATTTTCTACTTTTTAGTTCAATCAGAAAACGTGGGTTTTTAAAAACTTTTTTAATGATTATTATTTTCTACTTTTTAGTCTTTGTCTGTTTGTTTGCATTAAAATCTTGCTATCGATTTTATCTTTTCACTTTTTTTTTGGGGTAAACGAAGACAACTCGTAAAAAGACAACTCGTAAAAAGACAACTCGTAAAAAACACGTTGTGTGAATACGTTACTGACTAGAACACATAGATTTGAACCCGTGTCGAGTGGGATAGCAATCGTGTGCCCAACCACTCGACCATATCGTCTCCCCCATACTGACCACCAGTTGTTACGGTTGTTTGTACACAAATTACAGTTACTGGGTTATGTCCCTTTTTCCCCACGTTTTTGCTACAACGGGCCGACCCGCGGCGTATCATACGCCGCTATTTAGTTGATTTATTTTCTACTTTTCAGTAATTCATAATTTGTGAATTCGACAGTACCAAGGCTGCCACTGAAAATATTTGCTTTAAAACACTAACCCCCCTCCTTTCCCGTAACCCCGACCCTACACCCCCCCCCCCCCCCCCCCGCCCGTGAAAGCAGCCTCCTCTTAGTTACCTCCTGTAAGTTTCGGTTCAAACTAAATTATCTGCCCCTAATAGCCGTCACTAAACCTGGCTGTACGGTTTGTAAACATTAACGTGACCATAGCTCACCAGACCATGTGGGGGTGGGGTAGGGTGGTAGTGATGGTGATAGAGAGAAAGAGAGGGGACTGTAAGGAGGCGCTTGCAGCTTGTTTTCTAATGGTTCGCAGAGGAGAATTATATATATAGATTATATAGCGGTCTAAAATGCTCAATAAAATGTTTCCATGGATCAATTTAGTAATAATAACAATTGAATATTCTAATGTCATCCAAAACAAAGCTTCCCTGAAAATTTCAGCGCGCTAGCTAACTGGGAAGTGCCAGAAATTTCGATCGCAAGATTTGATTGGAAAGACAAACAGAGACGAAAGCAAGTTAAAGAAAACGTGGGAAAATCATGAAAATTTCCTGAACGTGGGTTGTTTAATATTGTAAATCAGACTATAATATGTAATAACAAAGTTGGAGAGCGGTTGGTATTTGTTTTTTTGAGTTCGTGCCATGATTGGCAGCAGAAAAGGCCGTGACAAAAGTCAACCATCCTCCATGAAAATTTCAAGTGCCCCCCCCCCCTTGAAAAAAGTCTGGCACTGGTTAGTATAGGCTGGGTCTATACTAGTTTTTAGCCACTGTATCATAGTTTTACTAGCTTGTGTATTTTGTGTTAAGAATAGACTGTTAGGTGTAGATATTACATTTTTTTTAGTTTTTAACGAGCCTTTATTTTCATTAAGTCTTGTAACCCGTTTGTGGTTGTTTGTCTTACACGTTGCGCTACGCATCGGATCATCCATAAGGCATGTCCGTGTGTTCACAACACATTAAATTTAACTTTTTTTTATGAGACCAAGTTTATTGCTAACCAAGCACTTTTTATTAAAGATAACACGAAATAAAACGCTACATATGGTCCACGCAGGTGAAAACCCGAGTTTTCCGGCAGTTTGACTTACCTATTACAACAATACCTGCTATAGAAAGAAACAAAAACAACCAACTGCAGCATAGATACGTTTTATTGTAAAAAAAAAAAAGTAGAAATAAATATATTTTTATCATTTCTGTTTCTTTTATAATATAATAGAGCACATATTTTGAAAAATCTGATACAGGATTTGAATCAAGTATAATACATACAAGTCAGCATTCACTTTCAAATAACTTTTGAACAACCATTTTATCAAGTCACTTAGAAATATTACACATTTAGAAAAGTGGCCATCACAAATGACAATTTACACATTTAGAAAAGTGGCCATCACAAATGACAATTTACACATTTAGAAAAGTGGCCATCACAAATGACAATTTACACATTTAGAAAAGTGGCCATCACAAATTACAATTTACACATTTAGAAAAGTGGCTTCACCAAAAGAAGTCAAATACTGGATAGGTTTAGTCTTCACCTTGTACACAGGTTAGAGCTATTTCTTTGTAGGAAAAAATTATGTACATATGTACAACAAAACAAACAACAAATTGATCACCAGTTAATTCTCATATTCCACATTTATTGACAGCATTTTTCTCTCACACACACCCGGGTACACAATCGTTTAATTGCATCCTACATCAGATATCCACCTAACACACAGACAAGCACACAGATACACAAGCACACCAACACACAGACAAGCACACATCACCTTTGACCAAGTTTAACTGTGGAAAATGAACACCTCAATTCCACAGTTAACTCATTAATTAACACAGACAGATAGCCTACTTAGAAGTAGGCCGTCAGCATATGTACAATTGCATAAATCCAGTTTGAAATTGTTCTATTACTCTTTAGAGTAACACAAGAGAAAGGCATTGTTAAATGGTTAAGGCTAATCATTTTCCATTCATTATTTACACATTGCCGTAGCATTCAGTTTGTTATGCCCTTAATTGACCAGCATGGCCCCTAATTGACAAGCATGGCCCCTGAGTGACCAGCATGGCCCCTAATTGACCAGCATGGCCCCTAAGTGACCAGCATGGCCCCTGAGTGACCAGCATGGCCCCTGAGTGACCAGCATGGCCCCTGAGTGACCAGCATGGCCTCTGGTTGACCAGCATGGCCCCTGAGTGACCAGCATGGCCCCTGAGTGACCAGCATGGCCCCTAAGTGACCAGCATGGCCTCTGGCTATTATAAAACATCATGAGATGTGGGTTTGTACTGAGGGAGGAATATATCAAACTTATTGGTAAAGAAAATTTACACATCAGGATAGCACAAAATGTGAAATGACAGGATGAGATGAAAAATTTGATTTCTAAAGACCCACATGTGACCACCAGATTTAGGAAACTTTCTGTCTTCTAGTTGTGTGAAGCTAACTTCTGTCTTCTAGTTGTGTGAAGTAAACAACTTCTTTCATCTAGTTGTGTGAAGTAAACAACTTCTTTCATCTAGTTGTGTGAAGTAAACAACTTCTTTCATCTAGTTGTGTGAAGTAAACAACTTCTTTCACCCATTTCTTTGTTTCCCACCGCAGTAGGTTGGCCGTAGGGGGTTCAAATTTTAAAATGATCCAGTTTAAGTTGGTCATTGGTCCATGTTTAAAAATGACCAAATCCAAGTTGGTCATCTGGCTCCGGACTGCCTGGTGCTGACAAGAGCATGGGGTCACCACTTACAGGAGATGATTCATCCATCATGTCCTCTACCTGTGGAGGTCACAGGTTCAATAAACTAGGATTCAATTACTGACCAACATATACAGAAGAGAATTGAGGTATACTGATAACTTACAATGTGTACAGAACAGTAACATTTAACTTACATAGGATGTGTACAGAACAGTAAGGTTTAATTTACATAGGATGTGTACAGAACAGTAAGGTTTAACTTACATTAGGACATGTACAGAACAGTAAGGTTTAACTTACATAGGATGTGTACAGAACAGTAAGGTTTAACTTACATAGGATGTGTACAGACTTACAGGATTGTAAGAATGAAAAAAATTAGCTGGCATGGCATGGGTGGTCTGACTAGGCAGGAGGCTGGTCTGGTGGTCGGGTGTCAGGAAGTTCTTCATACTCGAACTGATGTCTGCGTCATTCACTAGAGGGTTCTCAATGCCTTTATCTTTCATAAAGGTCTGCATTTGCTGTGGAACAAGGTGTGCTTCTATCAACATCAGAGTTCTATCAACATCAGAGTTCTATCAACATGAGACTTCTATCAACATAAGACTTCTATCAACATCAGACTTCTATCAACATCAGACTTCTATCAACATCAGAGTTCTATCAACATGAGACTTCTATCAACATCAGACTTCTATCAACATCAGAGTTCTATCAACATGAGACTTCTATCAACATCAGAGTTCTATCAACATGAGACTTCTATCAACATCAGACTTCTATCAACATCAGAGTTCTATCAACATCAGAGGTCTATCAACATAAGACTTCTATCAACATCAGAGTTCTATCAACATCAGACTTCTATCAACATGAGACTTCTATCAACATCAGAGTTCTATCAACATCAGACTTCTATCAACATGAGACTTCTATCAACATCAGACTTCTATCAACATCAGAGGTCTATCAACATAAGACTTCTATCAACATTAGAGTTCTATCAACATCACACTTCTATCAACATGAGACTTCTATCAACATCAGAGTTCTATCAACATGAGACTTCTATCAACATGAGACTTCTATCAACATCAGAGGTCTATCAACATAAGACTTCTATCAACATGAGACTTCTATCAACATCAGAGTTCTATCAACATGAGACTTCTATCAACATCAGAGTTCTATCAACATCAGAGTTCTATCAACATGAGACTTCTATTGACATCAGAGTTCTATCAACATCAGAGTTCTATCAACATCAGAGGTCTATCAACATAAGACTTCTATCAACATGAGACTTCTATCAACATGAGACTTCTATCAACATCAGAGTTCTATCAACATGAGACTTCTATCAACATGAGACTTCTATCAACATCAGAGGTCTATCAACATAAGACTTCTATCAACATGAGACTTCTATCAACATCAGAGTTCTATCAACATGAGACTTCTATCAACATCAGACTTCTATCAACATCAGACTTCTATCAACATCAGAGTTCTATCAACATCAAAGTTCTATCAACATCAGAGTTCTATCAACATCAGAGGTCTATCAACATAAGACTTCTATCAACATGAGACTTCTATCAACATCAGAGTTCTATCAACATGAGACTTCTATCAACATCAGACTTCTATCAACATCAGACTTCTATCAACATCAGAGTTCTATCAACATCAAAGTTCTATCAACATCAGAGTTCTATCAACATCAGACTTCTATTGACATGAGACTTCTATTGACATCAGAGTTCTATCAACCTGTAAACTTGTGTATTGTGAGCAATTAAATTTATTTTAAAATGAATTAGCTGAATTAAATGAATGAGCCCACCAGTAGCTGAATTAAATGAATGAGCCCACCTGTAGCTGAATTAAATGAATGAGCCCACCTGTAGCTGAATTAAATGAATGAGCCCACCTGTAGCTAAATTAAATAAATGAGCCCACCTGTAGCTGAATTAAATGAATGAGCCCACCTATAGCTAAATTAAATGAATGAGCCCACCTATAGCTGAATTAAATGAATGAGCCCACCTGTAGCTAAATTAAATGAATGAGCCCACCTGTAGCTAAATTAAATGAATGAGCCAACTTGTAGCTGAATTAAATGAATGAGCCCACCTGTAGCTGAATTAAATGAATGAGCCCACCTGTAGCTGAATTAAATGAATGAGCCAACTTGTAGCTGAATTAAATGAATGAGCCCACCAGTAGCTGAATTAAATGAATGAGCCCACCTGTAGCTGAATTAAATGAATGAGCCCACCTGTAGCTAAATTAAATGAATGAGCCCACCTGTAGCTAAATTAAATGAATGAGCCCACCTATAGCTGAATTAAATGAATGAGCCCACCTGTAGCTAAATTAAATGAATGAGCCCACCTATAGCTAAATTAAATGAATGAGCCCACCTATAGCTGAATTAAATGAATGAGCCCACCTGTAGCTAAATTAAATGAATGAGCCCACCTGTAGCTAAATTAAATGAATGAGCCAACTTGTAGCTGAATTAAATGAATGAGCCCACCTGTAGCTGAATTAAATGAATGAGCCCACCTGTAGCTGAATTAAATGAATGAGCCAACTTGTAGCTGAATTAAATGAATGAGCCCACCAGTAGCTGAATTAAATGAATGAGCCCACCTGTAGCTGAATTAAATGAATGAGCCCACCTGTAGCTAAATTAAATGAATGAGCCCACCTGTAGCTAAATTAAATGAATGAGCCCACCTATAGCTGAATTAAATGAATGAGCCCACCTGTAGCTAAATTAAATGAATGAGCCCACCTATAGCTGAATTAAATGAATGAGCCCACCTGTAGCTAAATTAAATGAATGAGCCCACCTGTAGCTGAATTAAATGAATGAGCCCACCTATAGCTGAATTAAATGAATGAGCCCACCTATAGCTGAATTAAATGAATGAGCCCACCTGTAGCTTAATTAAATGAATGAGCCCACCTGTAGCTGAATTAAATGAATGAGCCCACCTGTAGCTTAATTAAATGAATGAGCCCACCTGTAGCTAAATTAAATGAATGAGCCCACCTGTAGCTGAATTAAATGAATGAGCCCACCTATAGCTGAATTAAATGAATGAGCCCACCTGTAGCTTAATTAAAAGTTTTTTATATTGAAGATCAGACTTTCTTTTCTCCTCCAACATGACCTTGAACTTCCTCTGATCATCCTGCAGGCACTTGATGTAATCAACACTGGCCTTGAGAATAGAGCCCTTATTTTGTCTGAGGTCACTGAAAGGTCAACAAAACATTGAACCACAAGGTGAACTAAGACTAAAGCACACATTCATTTGTTCAAATGTGGTGAAGCCAACTTACGGGTCTACTGTCTTGGGTAAAAGGCCGCCCAGCTCTTTGATTCTGTCATTTATATTAAATCTTCGCCGCCTTTCAACTGTGAAAGTACAACTTGTGTTTTAACATAGTTTTGTTTTTTTACAGTCTGGGCATAACATCTATAACAAACCCTCTAGACAACAACTGAACTTTTTAAAAACAATTTTTTAAAAAACATCAGTTAAGAAAACTAAAACAAAAAGCATTATACAGGAAAATGGTCTAAGCTTATAACCCAGCTTCTGGTATTGTCTCAATAAAAAATAAAAAGAACTCAACAATAAACAGAAGCTACTTTTTTCAATACCACTCAATCATATTTGTTACATTATCAAGTCTGCTTTTTGTGTCAAAAGTTAAGATGTAGATCGTGTGGGGTTTTTTAAAATTTAGTAATAAACTATCACTAATAATAACCAAATTAAAATGAGATATTTAAATAAAAGTGCTTGAAGAATGTGCTCGTGCTGTAAGCCCAACCATGAAACAATAGGTGCGTTCAGAGTAATATAAAGAGAACAGCACATTTCTGTTTCACACGTGATAGTCTTTCAAATCAATTCACCTATTCTTTTTGTTAATACAAAATTAAAAGAGAAACAAGTAGAGCCATGTTGCAGCAACAGCTTTCTGATCTTTTCTTTTAAGAAAAAAGCAGAGTTTGTCAAAACAAAAAAGTAGCATCTCTGCTAGAGATAATCCGAGAACCACGTTAGTAAATTTATATACAAGGCGCAGCCTAGCAGTCATTTATAAATAGCGTCATGATAACGAGCCAAATTTTACCCTAACCTATATCGTCATTAACAGACAGCTATACAACAAATGGCATCAAAAAGTTTAGTCTACAGTCCCACCCATCTCTCCAATAATTATTGTTTTCAGGATTGTCTGCAACTTCTGACTAGTTTTATTTAAAAAAGTGGGTTAAATTGCGAAGTAGTGTTCATGCTTGATCACTCTTTCAATAAATAACATTTTTTACATACAGCTGAAGCACATTCACACGCAACCGTAAGTTTACATGCTGTAGACTAACTATTACACATCCATGAATGACATAGGCTAGGTACTGAAGGAAAGGCATTCTTCAGTAAAGTTAAAGCAGGAGGGAAAGATGCAACCATTCATACATGGGTAGCAAAATGGGAAAATGGATCGACTGACAAGATTTCCTATGTCTTATTAAAAAAATTTGGTCACGATAAATATTAGTTCTTTTCCTGTAAATTTTTTAAAAATTTAATGAAATGTCAGAAACCTTTTCTCGGAAACAGCAGATTTTCAAAAAAATAAAAAACAGGAAAGTTACACCTGACAGACGAAAAAATAATCCAAAGATGATAAGATCACCTAGAGATGAGAAATTTTCCTAATTTGTTTTATTTTTCACTTCCTCGGACTATTGAAAACTTCCAAGTCAAGTGAATGATAGATCAACCTACCATAATAACTTTTTCTTATAGAATGACAATGTTTTAAAAAAAAGTTGTGTTAAATTTAGTAGTTCCAAACTATAGGGCTAAAATACAAGAGAAAACCTGTATATGTGTGTATGAATGAATAGAAGTGAGAAGCTTGTACTCACTCATGTTGTGGTTGTCTTTCTTGATCCTTTCTTTCCTCCACAGCTCATCCTGGACGGACATGATGCCGTTGTGACTGAGTTCACTGTGCCTGTAGGCTGGTGTGGGGCAAGATGAGGGGGATGGGATGCTGCTGTCTGTATCCACAGATTCAAAACCCTGCAGCAAGCCATTTTGTGGGAGCTGGAAATTGTATGAAGTCTTAGAGCTCAATCACAATTTAAAAAAAACGTCTACTTTTTACTATGAAATTCAATTTTTTAAACGTTTTTGTTTGTTTGTTGTATAAGTATATTTCAGGTCATATTAAATTAATAAAAATTAAAACTCAATAAATATAATATAGATGATTAAAATGGACAACAAATTCAGAATTGTATATTTTGAATGAAACAAAAAGAAATTTTTCATTTTTGACAGAGTAGTCCAGTTGTATTGTACAGTTGACAGTGTCGAGGGTGTCATTATCAAATGAAAAGACTGGAGAACTAGACTTACCGACCCCCCACCAAGTGTGGGCTCTATGGCGATGAGGTCACTGTCCCCAAGGAATGAGCCAAGCTCCAGGAGGTTGTCTGACTGCAGGTCGTCCAGCAGGTCAAATGTGTTGGGCATGAACTGGGGACAAATTCAAAGTTCTCAGTTGGGCTACCAGCAAGCATCTCCTAACTATTCAAACCTTCTCATGTAGACATCTTGCTACAACAGATCATTGGACACATACAGGCAAGTGACAACTTCTTCACTGCCCAGTAGTTAAGTGTACTTTTAACAACAGTTAAATAGCAATCATGGTAGGCCCACCCACTAGGCCCAATTTTTATTTCTTTTGATAAGTGTGTCCTTCAAATGTACTCCAATGTGTGTGTGTGTGTGTGGACTGATAAACTAGAGCAATGTGTTGGGATAATTAGATATCTGTGACATTCTATTTGTTAGTCCAGTTTCAAGGTAAAACTTGAAATTTCAACAAATTTGCTCAAAACAATTTCTACAGCTGTCATGAGTGATACCATGGCAACAGAGAAAAAAACATGCCAGTAAACAAGCTAATATTAATCAGAACAATAGAAGAACTGGACCAAAGAATAATGGACTAATTAATTAACAATCTGACGAATAAAATAGGTGGCCACAAATATTGAAACTTAAGTAGCAGCCCAATCAAATAAAAATGGTCCAGTTCATGTGAGGTGGTGATCATGTGGGGTTGTGATCAGTCTATGTGGGATGGTGACCCCCACTGATTGTGATCCCATGTGTGTACTAACCTCAGCTCCAACAGAGCCTGTCAACAAAGGACTGGCAAGGTCTGGCTCAGGGGCGCTGCTTGAGGCCTGGACATGGTACTGCTGCTGTTCTGGTGCTGAGATGGACAAGACATTGGCAGGGAGGGACTGGATGGGGTGGTGACCACCTTGGTGTTCATTGAGAAAAACTTGGACTTGTCTCTTCTGGCTTTGTCTCACATGGTACTTGGTTGGATGCTGAAGGGCTGTCTTCACCTGCAGATTACACATTCACTGTAGTGTACTTGTAGACAGGGGCGGATTAAACTTGAGAGGGGAACCCAGCCGACATTTTTTTTGGGGCCCATACATATAAGTGTGTGTGGGTTAAATGAAAGACAGTTTAACAATAAGTAAACAAATGATAGTGAAAATACCCAAGTATTCCAAGATAGGAAATAAAATGTAAACTGCTGGGATTTTTTAGCTTGAGAGTTAATACATGGTTAGCTCTTGTGTCACATGGCTCTCTCAGTATTTTCTATACTACTGAAGGTTGAATATCTGTACAAACGTGAAAAATACACAGCTCTGCTTCCATTAAGGGACTACAACATTCATTGAGATTGTAAGCAACAAACTAAAAATTGATAGGAAAATTTTTACTATCGTTTATTACAGAAAATTGGTGGCCTTCTTTTCACTCCCTTAATACATCACTTATAACTTCTTTTTCTATATTTATGAGATAACCCCTGCAGTATCCTTGAAGCTCACATCCACCGTCTAGGTTAGGTTTTAATTCTTATTAATCCAATTCATAAAAACACTGTCACCAAGCGATGACTTCTGATGTTGACATTAGAGGGGAAGAGACATTTTAAAGATTGTCATGGGGGAATAACTCCTGCTTGTGTGGTTTTTATTTGGTAAGTAAAATAGCTTGTCATTTAAACATTTTATGTAAAGGCAAATTTGAAGAGCTCTAAAAATCAGGGGCCCTCTCTGTTCCCCCTTAATCTGCCACTGCCTGTCTCTGGGTTGCCAGGCTCAAAGAGGCAGCTAAGAAAAATCTCAAATAATGCATCTAGGGCAGGGGTCGGCAACCTGCGGTTCGCGAGCCACATGCGGCTCTTTTAATATCAAGATGCGGCTTTTCAGCTCAAAATATTAATAATTATTTTATTTTATTTTCAAAACTCATCAAAATATATTTTCTGCAACACTCGGTAATAAACTATACAATAATAAATATAAACAATAGACAATTATTATTAGAATTCTATTCGAATATTTAGTTACTCCCTATTTCAATGTACTTCTTATTAAATTGTCCATCCCAAATTGAAACATTCAACTTCACGGTGGATATATCACAAAGAAACTAAACCAGCTAAATGTAAAACTGCAAGGAAAAGAAAACCCAGCCTATGCATTGCTTGAAGAAGTGAATTGTTTCGAAAACAGAGCTAGCAAAATACTTTAATATTTTTTGTGAGAAACACGAGTGTTTTTATTTGAATACATATTATTCCATATTTAAAGCTATTTATTTTAAATCATATAAATATATATATATATATATATAAAATCCTAATCAAATAGCAAATATTGAAATAAAAATTTCAGTGGCTCTTTAAAAACTGGGTAATATTATAAATTGTAACTTTTGGCTCTTCCGTTTAAAAGGTTGCCGACCCCTGATCTAGGGAGTTTAATCCAAAAACAACTAGATCTAGATACCCTATACCTAAACAATACAACTATCCGAAACCTCACTATCCTAAATCATTTTTCCATACCTTTCTTAGTAATGAAGCTGGAGAGCAAAGACAGCCAGGTATTTTTTACTATCTCGTATATACAGAGTATAGAGAAAGTATTGTAATCGTGCAAAAAAAAAAAATCAAGATTTTTGCAAATCTCGATGCTTTACACCTCCCTGAGTCTGAAAAACATAGTTTTGCAATGTGGTGTGTATGTGAACACGATAACTTGAGTACCATTACAGCTAGGTTGATGAAATTTCATATACAAGTACTAATAATATTCCGCACTATTATACACATTTTATTTGGCGTTCACTTGGTGTGTAATTCTTTTTTCTACAAGATTCTATTCTATTTAAAATAGTTTAAGTAATTAAAAATGGATTTAAAATATTGTCTATATTTGAGTTGCCATTCCCCGTAGTGTTTAAATAAGAATATTTGAGAAAGTTTAGGGGAGATCACTCGCGGTTTATTTTCATTCATTGCTAGGGTTAGTCTAAAATGCTGCTAGTTTGAATGTCTATCAATTGCAATACTTTATTAAATTTTATGGTTACCACTGTGCTATGCAATATGATGAAATAAATTTCAATATAGCTGGTTTCCTTTTTAGAGATTGCAATACTTTATTAAATTTTATGGTTACCACTGTGCTATGCAATATGATGAAATAAATTTCAATATAGCTGGTTTCCTTTTTAGAGGCGGGGTTAATAGTATGCAAAACTAAGTTGTTAGATTATGGTTGATATCTGTATATTTTAAACTCTAAATAAACTCCACTGATATTATTGTTACAAGTGAACACTGGTCAGGACTACGTTATTTTAGGGAGCTTAAGCTTCATATAACCAATATTTGTCTATGTTTCATATTTCGGAAAACAAAGGTAATAACACTTCCCCCCCCCCCCCCCTGCCCCCTCTCGGCCAGGAGCTGCCATCGCCCACACCACCTGCTCCCCCTTACATGCCTGTAGGACTGTGGCTGGAACAATGAACCACCTGCTCCCCCTTACATACCTGTAGGACTGTGGCTGGAACAATGAACCACCTGCTCCCCCTTACATGCCTGTAGGATTGCCTGGAACAATGAACCACCTGCTCCCCCTTACATGCCTGTAGGATTGCCTGGAACAATGAAGCACCTGCTCCCCCTTACATGCCTCTAGGACTGTGGCTGGAACAATGAACCACCTGCTCCCCCTTACATGCCTCTAGGACTGTGGCTGGAACAATGAACCACCTGCTCCCCCTTACATGCCTGTAGGATTGCCTGGAACAATGAACCACCTGCTCCCCCTTACATGCCTGTAGGATTGCCTGGAACAATGAAGCACCTGCTCCCCCTTACATGCCTCTAGGACTGTGGCTGGAACAATGAACCACCTGCTCCCCCTTACATGCCTCTAGGACTGTGGCTGGAACAATGAACCACCTGCTCCCCCTTACATGCCTGTAGGATTGCCTGGAACAATGAACCACCTGCTCCCCCTTACATGCCTCTAGGACTGTGGCTGGAACAATGAACCACCTGCTCCCCCTTACATGCCTGTAGGATTGCCTGGAACAATGAACCACCTGCTCCCCCTTACATGCCTGTAGGACTGCCTGGAACAATGAACCACCTGCTCCCCCTTACATACCTGTAGGACTGTGGCTGGAACAATGAACCACCTGCTCCCCCTTACATGCCTCTAGGACTGTGGCTGGAACAATGAACCACCTGCTCCCCCTTACATACCTGTAGGACTGTGGCTGGTACTTCTGTAGCCTCCACCACACGAGGCACTGATATGCCTGTTGAGCCAGTGTGATGGATGTTTTTCAGAGCTGACTGTTGCTCTCTTTTTTCTTGTTCTAAAAGCTGCTGCCTTTGTAATTGCTGTTTAAGGTTTGCTCTCATGGGCATATTGGAGTTCTTGAAATCGGTCATAGGACTGAAATATTAATTTTTCCATTTAACCATATATATTTAATATATAAAGCTCTGTATGTATTCATGTATATAATTTGTGTAGCGGAAAGCGGACACATGCATATATAAAAAACACTCAGTCTGTTGAGAGTTAAATATTTAAAAAAATCATGCATGGTGTAGGCCTAATTATAATGGTTATAAAATCCTGATTGTTTGGTTTTTTCTTTCGTACTTTTAAAAAGAGTGGATGTGTTTAATGTTTTAGTATTTTTGGTAGGCATAATTGAACACAAAAGGCAAAAGCAATTTGGGGGATTTTTTTATACCAGCGTCCCATAATAAAATCTTTAAAAAGGGGTTTACGGTTACTGGTTGTTAACTAATATACAGACATGGCTTGATAATGTCAATGCTAACCCCTTACCCCAACCCTAGTCCTACCATAGCCTAACCCAGGGGTGGGCAACCTGCTGCTTGACCTTTTGATGTCAAGGTGTGGCTCTCCAGTTCCATGCACACATATTAATAATTATACTATTTCATTCTCAAAACTCATAAAAAGTATTATACTGTAAAAAAAAAAAAAACACAACTTTAACAATATTAAAACACTCATCAGAGAGAATAGGACCTCTGGTGCATTGCCAATTAAAAATTCGCACCGGATTCGTGGTTTGCCTTTGCTTCAACTGTAAGAGCGATATAACAAGTGTTGTCATGGAGAAGTGTGTCGTGCATGGCAGTGTGCCAATAAATATTAAATTAAGTAGGCCTACTTTTGTTTAAATCGAGCTAAAAACTTCAAAATTAGTGCCAAATGGATTAAATATTAGTATTACTTGCTAACTCGGAGGCGTGGCCTGTTGCTAACAACAATATGGCGTACATACCGGATGCATGACTTCCAATGATTTTTCCCAGTGACCTTCTTAGAATTACTGTTTAAAAAGTTTACCACGAGCAAAATGGCGGGGTTTTCTCGTTATAAAAACAAACCATAGGAGGCAGGATTAGATATGCCAGAAAAGCATTTTAAAATTTGGTTTGGAGAATGGAGGCTAAATTCAAAAGTTGGTTTCATTAAAATTAATAGAATGTTTAAAATATCAATGCTGTAGGTACAAAAATGAGCGAGAGAACGTAAAGCATTATTAATTTTATCAGTCTATGTAAAAAGAAATAAAATATTGTCAGCACTTTTTTTTAAATAAAACCGGCTCTCATATCACAATCAATTTATTTTCATTTTTTAAAAACCATGTGACCGCTATTTGGCTCATCACTAGTGAGGAACTCTGGTCAGGGTTCATGCTCAAAAGTTCAAATAAAATTCCAGGACTTTTCCAGGACTTTTCCAGGAGTTTAAAAAAAAATTCAAGGAGATTTTAAAAACAAAAAAGAAACCCAATTTGTACATTTTTTTAAAAGCGTACTTAATAATACATTTAATTAGCTAAGCCAATGCAAAAATTTAATTTCAGTAAAAGTAAAACAATATATTAGTTACATATTAGGATAGAGGCTATCAATCTGACTACAGACCAGTTTGAATTTTTAAAAATCTGACCATAAACAAAAAAGTTATGACTTTTTGTCATTAAAAAAAGAGCAGATTTTTCAGACAACCGGGATAGACCCTGAAAGAGGAAAAATACTGGGAGGGTATGGACCAAATTTTAAAGAGTTGTTCACTATAAAAGAGGTATAAAAGCAAGCAGACTTCACCAATTAATATAATTTCGTAATATTTTATTGATTTTTGGATGCCGAATCCAATGATGCTAGGCTAGTCGGCCAACCCGATGAACGTGTCAGACGAATATTATGTAATTTCAGAGACAAAAGTCTGGCAAGATTTCTTAATCTATGTCCAAGGATTAGTAACATCAACTCCACAAAGTGAAGGGGGAAGGGAGGTGGGGTATGAAACCACCACGAGCTGCTCGGGTACCGTATGGGTGTTACACAACATCAAAGGCGACGATCGTCAGCTTGGCACGGCACGGACTAGTGGGGGCGGGTTGAGCTATGGATGTTACGTTGGGTGTTACATACCGTGTAGGATGGTCAGTGTCTTCCTCCACCCACTCCAGCCCATTTTGGTCGATTTGGCAAGCTAGTATTAAGCGTATTAACAATTTTTAGTCAACCGAAAAAAAGAGCCACTGGAAAAATTTAATTTATTTCTATAGCCATTTTTACGAAAAATGAATGTATAAAATAAAATAATGAAACGTTACAATCAGCATTGTTTGATCGGGTCACAGCTATCCGGGTTTTCTAAAGAAGATTAATTTTGACGATTAGTCCTGAGCCGTAAATACTACTACAACTTTTTTTTGCTGTTTCAATAGTTTAAGACAAAGTTATGAAACATGCCTGTCTACTTTAAAAATCCAATAGCCGACAAGTCAAACACGGGAACACATGTAGGCCTATCTATCTTTAGAAATTGTTTATAGTATCACCCAATCGGGTCAATCGCCTAGCGTCACGTGACCACACACTCGGCTGTGCCACACGATGTGTAGATCACGACAGTGCGATTCAGTCGGACGATGGCCAATGCGTTTATTTTTATTTTCGTCCCATTTAAAAACTACTATTCAATTATTGGCGGAACAAAATCAAATAATTTCGGTCGGGTTTTGCGATGCGGGTAAATAAAATTTCATGATTTCATGAGATTTTTTTAATTTCAGGAGAATTCCAGGAGGTTTTTATATTTTTTCAAATTCCAGGAGAATTCCAGGAGATTTTTACGTTTTTTGAGATTCCAGGAGTTTTCCAGGACCTCCTGGAATTTCAGGAGGCCGCACGAACCCTGTCTGGTGAATAGCCAATTAAAGTCGTGCATGGCAGTGAGTGACAATAAATATTAAATTAAGTAATTTAATTTAAAACTGACTAAAAACTTAAAATTAGTGCCTAGGCCTAATGGATTAAATAAAAATCGAAAGATTTTTTGCCCCAACGTCTCCACTAGTCGGCAAAAAAAATTTCTGCGCGTGCACAGTGACCTATGGCTAGAGCTAGAGTTCTGCGGTTGTAGACACACAAATGCGCAGTAACATCAAAAACATCGCTGCAAAGACAAGTCGTGGTTTCTCTCCATTGCGCATCTTTTTCCGGCTAGCATCAGCCAAATAAATATGGATGTCTATTATTTTAGTATTAGGCCTATTCAGTGATCATGTTTAAATTGAAAATTGTGTAAATTTTAGATTTAGTAAGAAAATCTATTAATACTAATAGTTTCGCTGTCTGTCTATCTATATTTCTGACAAGAACGCTCTAGAGAAAACACAAGCAAATTAAAAACATGCATAGTAATTCGAAAAACGAAGTATGACGTCGTCACATTTAGAGTAGAAAATCTCAAGCCGGAGAGTGCACACAGTAATATGACGTCATTGATTCTCGAGTAAACATTGAATAAAAAGGAAATTTTGTCTAATCTAAGTGGTTTGCGTGAAGAGTTTCTTTCATACAATTCTTCGGGTAGGGGCGAAGCTCCACCCCCGCGTAAGAACATATGAGCCCCCCCCTCCCCAACTCAAAAGAAATTTCTTCATCAATACTCTATAATAAAATTACCGCCTAATTAATGTGTCTAATCTAAAAAGTGGTTATCTTGCAATTTCTTTAATGCAATTCTTCGGGTAGTGGCTAAGCGCGACACCAGTGTTTCTTTCAGACTTTTTCCTCCCCGGAGAGGGGTGGGGGTACTTGAAATTTTCGGGGGCGGGGGTAGAATTTTCGGGGAGGGGGCGGACACTGGAAAAAGTATATAATTATATTTCGTTGAATGGGACGGTAGACATGTTTTTTTTTTGGGGGGGGGGGGGGGGTGTGGGTGTGTGGTTTTAGTTTAGAGAAAAGAGACAGCACTATCAGCCTAGCGCCCGTTGTATCCTTCCTCAACGGGCCATTTTTCTCGTTAAATAATATTAGGCCTAAATAATACAAAATATGGATGTCTATCATTCAGTGGTCATGTTTAAATTGAAAATAGAGTAAATTTTAGATTTAGTAAGAAAATCTAGTCCTACTAATAAAATATTAATTTATAGCCTAACCCTAAAAGGGAGCCAAGAACAGTGTTTCCTAAACTTTTTTGAGTGGCGACCCCCTTTTATAAAAAAGTAAGTGACCCGCGACCCCCATAGCATTAAAAAGACTATCTCGGAGACTTTCAATATGAACTACTTGTGATAACTGTTTTAATACGATGAGTAAAATTTCATGCTATTTACTAAACATTCACTGTTAAGTTTTTGTTAACGCCAACATAAGTCATTATCAACATTCAAAATTGTGTCTGCAGTTTTTCATCTTACGCTGAATCATTCTGCAAATCAAAGAATTCATCTTGTAATTCATCGTGAATGCTGGCAACATCAAGGGAAGTAGAGAATGGGTAATGCATCAATGCTGATTATTCTTTCAGCTCAGTGAAATAGTGCGGCAGTTCGTTTTCAAGAGATTCAAGATGCTCAGAAATCGCTTCTTTCAAAATTTTAATTATCTCACAATCAGATTCATCTACCACACATCAGAGTTTCTCAAATTTTCAATATTTCCAAGATTTATTTTCTTCGCCAATTTTGTAGCTTTGATAAAAATGCCCCGAGATTATTATGGAAAGTGATAATATTCGTTCATTTTCCTTGAAGCTTCAGGTTAAGCGTATGTTGATGTTCGAATATATCTGCTAGTTATGATACTCTCCCCAACTACTCTGTCGTTTTAAGTATACCAAAAGGTCTTGTTTTCTTTTGCACTTCCAAGTACAATTTGATTTGAGATTTCAATTCAAAAACACGATTCACAACATTTCGTTTGACAGCCAGTGTACTGAAGTGTAGAAGAGCAGACCCTCGTGGTCTATATTAATGTTGTTGCTCAGTTTTTTTAAGGCTCCGGATTAAATTTAATTTACGATTTTTACTAGCAACTGAGTCGGAAGCGTCTTGATGGCGAGGGCATACTAGTGAATCATGCAGTGTTTAGGGAGCT